AATGAACAATCACTTGCAAGTTTTGCATGTTTATTTCATACAACAATAAATTTGCATAAAAAATATAATAATAATAACAATAATAATAATAACAATATTGATAATAATAATAATAATAATATGAATGTTGCAAAAATTAAGAGTGATTTATAAATATATTATGCAGTATATTTTGAGGAGAGTGAAAAATAAGCTTATCAATTAATATACTGAATTTTATAAAAAGGTAAAGGTAACCTCGACATTTGCATACTGGACAACCATTGTTATTATTTTCAAATCCATACAAACAATGCTTGTAGCATTGATGAAGTGGAGGACATTTAGCACATTTACATACAGCACAACTTTTGTCGTCTCGCAAATATCCATGAGCACAAATTCTATAAGTTAAAAATTTGCATAAAAAATATATTTGTTTTTAACTTGCTGGAATCTCATATTAGTGTTATGAATAATCACTGATTAAGTTCAAAGTGTAAAATTCTAATTATGCTGAGAAAATTTAAGTTGAAAACAGCCAATTAAATAAATTTTGTAAATCAAATAACCAAATAATTAAGTAAAACTTTTTAAAAAAAATCAGAATTTTACTAATTAGTGAAAAGAAATCAATTAATAATAGTAAAACGAAAAAACTATAAAACCACTTACTTATCACAATTAACATCGCTAAGTTCTTGACAATTTGTACTTGCTAATTTTTGTACAGGTGCGCATTTGCATTGAAAGCAGCCTTGTGAATCTCTGATCAAACCATTTTCACATCGTAATGGACAATGTTCCAGCGATGGACAAATTGCTGGATTTACAATTATTATTGGCTCTGAAATGCTAATTGTAAAAATTTCTATATTTTCCAGTCATAAATAAATAAATGCAAAACAAAATTATAACATTAAAAAAAGTGATTCAAATTTAATTTTTTTAAAAAAAGAGCTAAAGAATAAAGTATATGTCTAAAAATCAATGTTAGGAATATAAGTGTGTAACTATTTAAAAATTCGCAAAGTTATAACGAACCATCGCAAACAGGACAGCATTGACCAGGAATTTTCTTAGGATTATCACATTCTACTTGACACATATGCCTTTGACAATAATGGACACCATCTGGACCACATGAACAACTAAAAAAACATATAAAAGTTTAAAATCCCTTCAAAATAATTGATTAAAAGAAATTGATATTTTGTTATTCAGTAAAAAGATTAGTAAAATTTAATTATTAAAAAATTTATTTTTATTTTTATAGTTAAGAAAAAACCTTGTGCAATCATCTTTTTGCCAAGTTTCGTTTCGTTTATGCTTTTCACCGTCTGCTTGACAGCCAAGACAAATTGGGCAACATTCATTTTCCGGAATAGCTACCCAAGTACAATGTGCTAAAATTTTACATTCATTTTTTTGATAAAAAAATGTACAAAAAATATTTTCATACATATTATCACATTCAAAGACTACTGCAAATGAATCCATAATTTAGGATAATCTCTCTAAGACATTATTTTAAGAGAAAAAAATCAACTAATTTGAATTAGTTATTTAGTTTATAATTTATGTATGAATTTCAGATTCAAATATGAGTACAATATTTGACTAATGTTAAAGTATACTTTATCACTCATTTTAACAATCTTATATACTCAAAATCCTACAATTTTAATCAAAAGTAAAATTGAAAAAGATTTAAATTTCAATTTTTTATACGACTTCAGATTTTGAATACTTTTTTTTTAAAAATTAACAAAACAAAATCTTGTACAGTAATTACAGTAATATTGAAGTTTGGATAGACTTATGCAACAATTCCAAACTTTTACTTACATGATAATTTTGAAAGATATCAGTTAGACAGCTTACGGAATTGCATTTAAAGATATTAATAATTAATTAACTAACACGGAGGATTAGGACACGTCATTCTGCTGCACAAAGCGATACCACCTTTACATTTGCATAATTCACAGCTATTTGTGTGCCACTGTTCGCCATCATCATAAGTCTCGCCATTATACGGACATCGTTTACCACCAACACTTCGCAATTCATCACCTGGTTCGCAGGTGAATCGATCACAACAACGCCCCGGTGTTCCATCTCCTTAAAAGTCAATTAACGATTTATTTCATGGTAAATATTTATTCAATCACCACATTTTGACCCTCGCAACATTTGTCAATGAAGTGGTCATTTTTGATTTGAATCAAGTTCAAATTTGTAGCTCTTGACCATCATAATGTTTTGTTTTAAAATATACAATCTTATTTCATGATAAAATTTGTTCTGTGATAATAATTTTTCACTTTTGTAAAAATTATCTTTTCCGATAAATAATTAAATACATATATGCAAATATAAATGAATTTAAATCACTGATTCTATTAATAGCTATTTTTTTACGAAGGACTACAAAAATGATACACATAGTAGTCATTGATATCAGATGTATTTTATGGTAAATGTTTGCAACTTTTCTATTTTTGCTTTAAGCTATTAGTATTTAAAATGTTAAGTCATTCTACACTTTAATAAGGTTTGAATAAACTCAACAAAGTTTAAAATACAAAAAATTTAGTTTAATTAAACGAGAGTAATACTCTTTAAAATGTTTTGATTTAAAATTGTTAAAAAATCAGCAAATTCTGTACAAACATCTATTAGCAAACTTAAAACAGCACCTTTCTGTAAAATTTTCACTTTCTGACCTTCTGGACAACTTGCTGGCATGCAAATTGAAGCACGACATCGACATCTGCAACAATCTGACATTTATTTTCGTTCTACACAAGGTATGCTAAATTAAGTTGTCCAAGATTTACAGGTAAGAAAGTTATAAAACACAACTTACCCAGAATCTATAGGACAGCACGCTCCCGTGGGAACATAACTTGCAGCTCGTACGCTGTCTTCAGGACATTCCATATCTTCGAAGTCTGTAAGATGATGGTCACAATGAACATTTTCGCAGCGTAATTCTGAAATCACATAATTTGCATATTTCAATAACAAAATTACAATCATATCAGTTTAAAAATTTTGTTTTCATGAATGATTTCAAAAGGATCGAAGAGTCATTGATTGAATCAATTAAATAGCACAAGCTGAACTAGCCTGGCTGTTTGCATTCAAAGATATCACAGCAGTGGCCTGGTTCATTACTACCTTCTTTTACTCGTACTCTTTCAAGACCTTTCTCGCATAATGGTACCAATGAATAACACTTCTAAAACGCAAATTCAAATTTTGCTTCATAAGTAGGTTGTTTAAAATATAAAGTAATATTGAAGGTTGAAGATTACAGTTTAGCTTTTTGATTATGAATTTTTGGATCATACAGTTCAGTGAAAAAAAATTAACTGTATGGCAAAAAAAGCTACATGATTAGATAAAATAATTATTCATTAGTTGTCCTTGTTTTTCCAGTGTATTAAAATACAAAACTTATTTTAAAACTATTATCACTATAATGGTAATAACGATAACGATGATAAAAATTATAATTATAATACTAGTAAATAATAATAATCAAAAAAGTAACCTACCTGCACATCACAATGACATTCGCCGGGTGGTGCGCAACATTCTCCTTCTGGTGGTGCTGGAATGACTAATCGAGAATCCTCGGGGCATTTATGCAAATATACTTTATCACATTTTGCTTTCAAACAGTTCTCCGGCCACATTTCTGTAATTAAAGCAAAATTCAAGCAACGATTCAAATTGTATAAAATTGCATTTTTCTTTTAAATCAGGCGAAAATATAAAGCAAATAAAATTGTCAATATTTATCAAATGGATCAAAATTATTGCTTTAAAACAATATAATCCAGCTGATAAAATTTCTGGTACTATTTACTACTGATAAGGACTATAAACTTAATCAATGTTTAAACTTAAGTTATATTAGAGTGATTAAGTTAACCTAACATAATCACTCTAATATAACTTAAGTTATTATTGAGTGATTAAGTTACTTTGACTTAATATTAGAGTGATTAAGTCTTTTAATCAATAGATGTAGTGTTGTTTCATTTAGCAGTAAATAATAATATTTAGTAAAATAAACAAATATCAATCAGATTATATGAACATTTAATTTATGTAAAGTACCACAAATTTAAGTTTTCAAACTAATAAACGTTTTGCAAACATTTTGGCACGTGTGTTGCCAACTTTTACTTTTAGACTTTAAACATTTGCAGTATTTATATCCTCCGTTTACCTCCAATAGTGCATTCCTCAGCAAAAATATTCACTTAAAAAAGTCAAAAATGAAAAGAAAAGAATTAATTTCAAAGATATGAAATTAAATTTTATTTAATATAAAAATAGATAGATAATAGCTTAACGATTCAGTCATATTTTTCTTAACATTAAATACTATCCAAAATTGATGAATAAAAAAATCTGAGAATTCATTCAATCTTTAATGTGTCATTAATTTCAGTTTTTGTAGCAGTTGTTCATCAATGAAAAATCAGTTTTATAAAAATTATTGATTTTTATCAAAATTTGGTATTTAAGTTTTTCATTAAAAAATTGTAAAGAAAAATGAATGTTTGATACTTAATATGATCAAAATGCATTAACAGTAGAAGAAAAAGTAATTAATATCAGTATATCATTCAGTGATTTTTTTTAAATTGACAATTTTACACGCTGAAAAAACAAAAATTAAGTCAAAGAAGTTTTAATTTATGTTTGAATTGTTGAAGTATAGATTCAGTTAAGACTAAACGAGTACAGTTATTAGATCGTTAGTATTCTTCAAATGTCCCCTTTAACAGCTGTTCAATTAAAGGTCATTTTAAAAGTAATGACAATTATTACAGTTATTGACATTTTAATACTTACGAAGTTGATCAGTTTAGGGCAACTTGTATCAGAATAACTTTGTATAGAAAGTAGCCAAATATGGAAATTACGATGGAAAGCCTAAATCTTAATAAAAAATGATGATTGTACTTCTAAGTTAGTAGTGATTAATAATTACTCACAGGAAATCCTAACTTTATGATAAAAAATTTCGTCAGCAAGCATACGAGTAACTTAATCCCAAAAAGTTTTTAAAATTGAAAAAAATGCTATAATTTAAAATATATTATTTTTCAACTGATTATTTTGTGTATTGTTTGTAATATCTGTTTGTTGTGTATCTAATGGATATATTTAACTGAGCTAATCTTAACTCTCTATTATCATTATTTAATCTCATCATCTCATCATCTCTCTATTATCATTCTTTTTATTTGTATATTAATATAATTATGACTATATCTAAAATCACAATAACCATAATTATCATCCAAATGCTGTGAATAAAAACATAGTAAAGCACCGAGACAAAATTAAAGATTGCTTTTTTTAATTCATATTTTTGTATTTAAAATATGTACGTAACAGTGAATTTGAAATATATTACGTTCAAGTTACCATTAAAACGTGAAATTTTTTGTATCAATAAATGACAACACAGTAAGACTTTTTTTAACTTCTAAGATATTATTTTTGGTAGAAGAAATATTCTCACAAAACTTTTTACTAATAATCTTTTCGATATAATGATTAGAAATCACAAAATAACAGACTTATTTTCATTCTTATATTAAATTTAATAAGATTAAAATAAAATCCAGATTACATACAAAAAACTTTTTAAAAACAAAGATATATTTTGAAAGCTAAAAACTTAAAGCTCAACTTTTATTCTAAGCATTTTAAGAATAGTTTGCAAGCAAACAATTGCCCTCATTTCTTCATAATTTACTTTAAATGTTCTCACATGCAATTTAAATTTGATAACAAACTAAATTTTACGATTAAAAAAATTAGCCAAAAAATTTTTAACCAAAAAGTTCAATAAAATTTGAACAAAAACTGCGCTAGACAAAGCTAAAATTGGACTTGTGCTCTTCTAACGCTAGATAAAGCTGAAAATTTCAAGAAAGCTAACTAACTAATAAATGTAATCAAGAAGAAAGAGTACACATCCTTGGACTTGGCGAAAATTCAAATCTTATGCAAACTTCAACTTCTATCATCTTTTCTGACAATTCAGGCTAATACTGAAAAAAAGTTTATCATCGATTCTATGCACTGTGAATAACATATATCCAAGTAATTCTATCAGCCAATAATTTATTGAAATTATTCAGGGTGTAGAGAAATAAGTCATATGAGTATTGAGTACAATTTGATAGCTATATGATTTATTTAGTAAAAGCAATAATTAATTATTAAAATAATATTACAACTATAAAAATCAAAACTTAATTTGTAACTAATAATTTGAATAATTCAAAGATTAATCATTAAAATACATTTTTAATAAACAGTAATGAATGAATTTCTCCTTTTAATGACATTTTTCAACAGATATCAACAAAGTGAACTATGCAAATATATCAAGCATAAAAATTAATTAAATTAAGTTATTATTAAAATAAGAAAAAATCAATTATTTTCCAAAAATGAAAAACGTTTACTGTAATGAATTTATCAACAGAAAGTATACTTACTTTTACTTTATTGTACTTTATTCTAAACAAATTTGAAGTCAAAAAGTATTATATTTATTTTCATTTATTCCAAAAATAATTTTTTTGAAATCATTTTTGGTTATTTTTTTACAGTCAATAAATGAAAAAATATTGAAAGCTCAAAGTGCAATTTTTTTCAATATTTTTAATTTGTGACCTTGGCATTTTGCTTTTTTGTTCAAATTTCTTTCTTTTTTACAAAGGTATGAATCACATGAATGACAAATGAAAGGTCAAGATAGTACTTGTGTAATAATTACAATGATTGAAGTCATGCCCGTTACAAAAGAAAGTACCATACGGTGATTATTATCAAGTTTAATTATCATGATAAAATTTTTTTACTCTCAAATTAAAATTATGATTATAAGGCTATCACGAAATAATTAAAATTAAGATCACAAACTAAAGTTAGAAAAATTTTTTATCCACAATAACTACATGCTTTAAAGTAACAATCACTTTGTGTTACGTTCTATAAAGTTAATATTAGCTTTGAGTTTTAACACTGCAAAAAAGTGATAATTAAAATAATTTAAGGATTATTTATTAAGATTTTTCTTTCTTTAAATATAAAGTAATGCATACATGTAAACAAAGCAAAGTAATGAATGAATCTGCTGATTATTTTTTAGTTACCTTAGCATTTCCTTGCTTTTTACAGATGGAAAACTAACGTAATACTTTGACCATAAAATAAAGAAGGGTCAGAATTATAGTCTACGCATCACATAATTATTAAACATCATATAATTATCATGTAATTATTTATCAATATCATAATCTGTTTATGCTTGAAAACCAGTCTAGGAATTGAACTTAATTTGCCTACAGAAGTAAAATACAATGCAAACATCTGAGTTTTAGTTTCATAGTCAAGATTAAATATTCAGAAAAGTATTGAAACTGAGACAAATAACATTCGTTTTTTTGGAATCAAACAATATCTTTGTCCTATTTATTTGTAATTCAAACTTTTGATAAAATTGTGAGGAATCAACAAAGAACTGTGAAACTCTTTTTTTTATCAAAAAAATTATAATAAAATTGAACTTTTCCGATCACAAATCTAATCGTAATTGCTGAAATAAAATGAATTATATTAATGCTTTTACTATTCGATTTTACAGTAAAATGCAAAATAACTGTCATTAAATGTTTGAATTATTTGTATATTTTTGCAAAAAGGAAAAAACGAACTTAAAAAATTCAAAATAATTTTTAATGGGATCGTTAATCTATTCAGTACGTCTTTTCATTTATTCTATTAACAAAAAAAGCTTTAAAAAGTGACTAATTTTGTGATCTGTTAAATTTTTTTTTTTAAATTATAAATTTATTCAAATATAGTTGGTTACTTGTTTAGTTTCCTTCACATTTAGAAGGAATAAAAATAGACACTAACAAATTTTTTATTTCTAAAATTTGAATACAATTTGATAGCACTTAGATGATTATCATGCGAATAACAGGTTTACCAATTTTATTGCATGATAATCATCAAAGGGAACACAAAAATATTAGTTGCTAATATTTCAACAAAATGAAAAGATAAATAAACAATACTAAAAATAAAAATATTAAAAAAAATAATAATAATACTAAGAAATGAATACAAAATACGAGACAATTATATCCTAATTATTTACTGCTACTA